CAAACAATGCGTAATGTTCATATCTAAATTCAACATCATTCCATTCCTGGAATTTAATATCAGTTTAGAAAAAGAATTAATGGCATTTTGTGTTTTACTAGGTTGTAGCATTCTTCGCGACAAATAATTTGGTTGTAATAAAGAATATTTTCTTGTATATATCAATCTCTTGTGATATTTCTGTGTGTAATAAAAGTTTTTTTTTCTCATGTATTGCTGTTCTAGCATGACAAAAATGCTAACAATATGAATGTCATTCTATCATTGAGATTGACAACAAAAAAGCAGTTGTGTAAGTTGATATATTGAAATATAAGATAGAACTTCAAGGTGTTTTCCAGTAAAATAGTTTTGCATAGAGTAATGTCCAATCATACAAAATTGAATACTGCGAGCGTATCAAGTTCATATCGTCATCAACTTCACTTGAAGATAGTGACGTATCTATGATTTTAACAGTAGGAGACTTTTGGTGAAGCTCAGTTGGTGTGTCTCTGTTCGGTAGAATCTCAGCAGCTCTTGATTACGCCATTACCTGGAACTCTCAATGTGACTTTATCATCGAGCGTGAATAATAATACTTGATCATCTCATAGATAAATTCTCATTCGAGTAAATAGAAATTATTCATTTTGTTCCATTCAATGTTAATTGTGAGTGAGTGCTCTCTCTAGTGCATGAAGCTAGAGAGTAAGGAAGTGTCAAGACATTATCTTTATATACAATGTGCCATTAAATTTGCTGACGCAAATGTCGTTTTTCTCTCATTGTACTACTTTATAAAATATCATAAAAAGGTGTGCATTACTAAAACACTCACAAACAGACTATAAATAAACAACACTATATTTTTCGATCTACATTGTGACAACCGTTTTTCTGAAGTAATCATGACTGATATGTCTGTAAATGATAGCTTCATCGTTGAAGTTAACGACACTGAATCTTCATCAGTTACAATATTATTTACCTCCGTACCACCAATAGCTTGTTTTTGGATTATGTTCATATTTTTAATATCATCTATAGTCTGTTCTATTTTTCTTCTCTACAATTTGTTCTTTGATCGAAAACTACGAAATGCATTGAATAATCATGTTCTAATTGCTCTTCTCATCGTTGGACTACTCTGTTTACTTCTTGACATTCCAAACTATCTTATATTTACTTGCCTAGGATATGTTTGGCCTCAATCAGCAAGCATATGCTATTTATGGTGTTTTGTGAATTTAGCTTGTTTTACTTTATTTGGTTTTCTCATGGTTTGGGCTACAATCGAACGACATATTCTTGTATTTCATAATCATTGGATAAATACTCAGACAAAACGTTTTCTTATTCATTATTTACCATTAATAATAGTCACTCTATATTGTTTTGGTTTTTATACTATTGTCATTTTTTTTCCATCATGTGAGAATGAATTTGATTACACACAAAATTGGTGTGATTATCCATGTTATTCTAATGATAACAATCTTCTGATGTATGAAAATTTGTTCCATTTTCTATTACCCATTCCTTTGATTGTTATCATCAATATTTTGTTAATTATTCGAATTGCTAAACAAAAACAACGTCTTCATCAATCTATGCACTGGAGCAAATATCGAAAAATGATTTTACAAATAATATCATGTTCAGCCGTTTATCTTCTATTCGATCTTCCTATGTTGTCACTACTTGTAGCTCATAATTTCGGTTTACCATACGAAGCAACTGGTCAAGTTGAACTCTTTTTTTATTTTCTAGCTTATTTCATCAATATTTTTATGCCTTTTGTATTTCTGGGATTGTTGCCGGAGATCTGGATAAAAATACAGCGAAAAATACCATGTTTTACTATTAGAGTTCGTCCGGAAAATATTACATTGCGTCCAATGACGATGAAACAATTTACATTTGCACAATGATAAAACATCATCTTGTCATTGAAATATATGATAATTTAACATTAAAAAAATTACAGCAAACGGAATATGTATAAGATTTTAATATAATTCAATCCAGCTTATGACTAATAAACTTTTATTGTTCTTAAAAACAGGAATAAAGACTCTCAAACATTTTAGATGTTGTACAATTTGAATCGAATAAGATAATCTCTGATCGGTTCAAAAAAAAAAGAAGTAATGTAGTTTAAGTTTTTAGAAAGAAAAAAAAAACAAACGAAGTGTGTTTTCAATATTCTTTTTCTTCGTGACCCATATATTGAATAGAGTTAAAAATAAGCCTAAGAACTACTTGAAAAATATTGGAAGACAGATCTCTCTAGTCTTTGTAGTTTTCGGGTAGTCATCATTTTCGTGAGATCCATAATAGTGTCTGTTGTTCTGTAGTGTTTATTTCACTTGTGTCTTACTCGTTGGACGAATGCTCATTTTTTTTATTAAGGATCGAGCCTTATCGATGAACTTAATCTAATTCATTTGTGTCGTTTATTACTTCAACGATGATATAATTCAGTATTTTCGAGTGGTTGTCTAACTATAATAGAACGTTGACCTCCCATTCAATTGAAAAAATCTTGAACATTCATGCAAGCGGATGAACTTCTAAGGAAGTTGCATATACATGTATATGATTTATGGTATCCTCTGATTTCACAGGTGGCCACGTCAATATATAAAACTTCCTATACTTGCACTCGCAACAGTATTGCATACACATGCAACCATTTTTGATCTCACAAAGCGCACGTCTATACACCCGAGTGAATCAAGCATTCAAGGGCATGAATGTGACATGGTAGAATAGTCTCAACAACAACGCTTAATATGTAAGAGTGTTTGTGAGTGATAATCTATAAAACAGAATGGTCGCATGGTTGTTGCATTCATCTTTCAGTGTGACACGTTCGGCTCAAAACTAACTAAGTTTCTTGTGCGTATGCTAGCGAGCTGATGTTTCGCTGCAGAAACTCATACGTGTACATACATCATCTTCATCCGTTGATAACCGTTTTTTATACTTTTGATATTGACTGGAATTTTGATTAAGCATCAATTGATTCGGAAATCTTCTAGATAAGTAATTGCAATGAAATTATCAAACATGATCATGCCTTTTTTGCAAACAGTTCCTTATCTGTTAAATGTTGACTGTTCTCGATCGATTACCAATAACGATGATAAATAATTGATTTGATCGATTGTTTTTGAAAAAAAAAATTGATCAGTTTTCTTGAAAATATGGCGCATTCTCTACGAAATAGTGTACAAAAATGAAGTATTATCACAATGAGCCACGGCAATTTTCTGTGAAATTTATCTTGCACTCACTATAAAAAAAAATAGTGAGTATCAGTTTTAGTTTATTGAAAACAATTTGTTCTATTTCATAAATAGATTGATATTCATGTGGATCGAATTTTAACAATGATTGATATGATACATAGCAATTATTTACTCACACCTAACAGAGACCTAGAACACGGCACGAAAAAATAAAACAAAACCGTGGCCACTTTTGCAGCTCGTCGTATTACACTGTGATCTGCCTCTTTCGTTTCTTTTTGTTGAATATACGGACGATATAACAACCGATGGAACAATTAAATTGTAGCATATGATTGATTAATGTCGAAAAACTAGTCATCGCAGTAGTGATGCCAATAAACATAACATTAAAAGTTACTCATAGTTTAGCCTGCTTATTTAGTTATTATGGTTTTTATCAAGCATACAACTATGAACAAAAAATTCGAACATTCTCAGACATATTTTCAAACAAATAGTTGAAATCTGTACTAATATATCACAGTGTAAAGCTAAAAGTCTTATACAAACTGTATTATATATATTTGTTAATACTCCTCGAAAAAAATCACCCTGAAAAGTAAGTCATAATCTTATTTGACTGAATGCTGCAACTTCGACCAAAATCATATTTTTCTAATGTCCATCTAAAGGAAAAAATAGTAATATTCGACAGATTTTTTATAACTTTCTCAATCTAAAATAGTAGAATTTCAGCATTTATGTGCATAAACAAAACAACACGCCCATCTGTACTTCCTAGTATTTCTGCCTTCGTTTTCAATGTACATTTGTTTTCAACATATTCTCAATTCTTTTCAAAACTCGGTGCGTCTTTTATATTCTTTACATCTTATACTATATCAGTATTTGGGCGTAGTTAAATGGTGTATAAGATGTATGTTAATATTGTTGAATACTTCAAACCAATATTAGTGTATGTCCCAGATTTATTCAAAATTGTGCAGGTTCATTGTGGTTTGGAAATAGATTCCAGTAATAAATTATTATACTATAAGCAGTGCAGTCTTCATATTCATTATTTCTTATCAATCATCTATATTATCGTAGATAATATGAATGACTGTATCTTTTAACTTTCAAAGATATTATTGTCAATGGTTCATCTATACAAAAAAAACAAATTCATTTGCAAAATGGATCAAAAATAAGATTTTCTTTTTATTTAAAATAGTCAATAAATTCATGTATTTGTACTAAATTTTTTGAAATACGTATATTTATTCTAAGCAGAATTGTTCATTTTTAGAAGGTGTCTGTTTTAATATAGTTAACTGATGATAAAATTCTGTAAAGATAATCGTCACATAGTAATGAAGTCTAAGTTATTTTGACAAAACTACATTAGTAAGAAATGCGGATAATGGTTTTCTAAGATAGTGTAGCAGATTAATAATTGAAAATTTTCATTACAATAATGAAAGCTATGAGAAATTTTTAAAGTTAAATATTTTTATGTTACAGTTAAAAAAAATCTACTAAATGTTCATCATCTCATGTTCTTCGATATTATGTAGAAGGATGGTGAAACAAAACATATAGACTTAATAAGTAAAGTAATTATTTTGAAAACAATCAATTCAACTTCGAATCCATAATTGTTTACGTTAAGCAAGGGTGTGAGTGTGCAAGAGGAGAGGAATAGCAGCTACACCTAGATCCAACATCAACACTTTTTGCTGATTACAATTGGCTTCAATGGAAAACCACTTTTTAAATAACTTTTTTCATAAAATTAATTATTCTCTCATTGAAAAGACATCACTTTCCGGCACATTCGAAAGTATCATTGATCAATCATTTGTCATTGAATTTCACGTGAGAATATCATCGTGTAATCTATATGATAACGACTCGACTTCATTTTGAAAAAGTGACTTTTTCAGAGTAGATAGATCTCTTTAGAAAGCAACACATATCTAAAAAAGACCATGTTGGAGAATATCCTCTTCTCAAAAGTGTAGATGTTGGTATGAATGAAGACGATTTCCACGACGTCACACAAATCCTTATAAGAATATACAATGAAATTATTAAATAATGGTGCCAGTCTTTTGGTCTGTTCAGAAGTAATTCGCATTTTTTTACAAAGAAAACAACTAATGGAATATATTATCGACTGAATTTTGTTATTCTTGTCAAACAAATTCATTTTAAAAGTTATTTATTTTTACCTATTAAATTTTTCTTCTAGAGTTAATGTTTGAAAAACAATTTCGAAGTCAAAAAACATGTGAATAATAAAACTTCTTTCAAGCTTGCGAGATCTTCACTCAAATGTTAAGTTAATGATTCATTCAATTTACCTTCTTCACTTTCCTACATGAACAACACGTAAGAAACAGACAAAACACAAGATTTCCTTTCGTTCTGTTTTCATCTTATCAAAGATTAAAAGAAATTATGCTAACAGTAATACTCACAACAGCTTAGAAATTATCAACATAGAATATTTCTAACTCCATTGTAAAATTATACGAATTCATCAATTCAAACATTACCAGTGGAAATTTTACATCGTATTTTTGATAGTCTTGATTCTCAAACTATTTTATTTTCAATTCAACCAGTATGTCGATTATTTCGAGCAATGCACAAAACTTATGATCGATATTTTCTGGACTTTAAATCAATATCAAAGACAAATTTTCATCTATTTCGTCATTTAATTAATCCTCAAAATGTTATGTCATTAAGATTTTGTGATGATGAACATACTTCAAATCAAATTGGTTTATTTATATCATTGATTCGACTTCGACAATTTGCTCGACTTGATTCAATAATTTTTCTTGGTATTGGAGAATTTCAATTGAATATAAAAAATGATATGTCGCCTATCAATTTAATTCTAATAATCAATATAAAATTCAAACTTATTCGTTATCAATTTGTAAATATGTTCTTCAATATGAATTAAATTCAAAATATATTTATCTTTTTAATGCAACAATCTTGTTGAACAATGATCCATTAACAAAAAAAACAATATCAATGAAATTTTTTTATCATTGAAACCCGCCACATATGGAAATATGAAAGAAGAAGAAGTTTGTCATGAGATAAATTCTACTGAAATATATTTTTTATTTATAGGAATTACCAAGAATCAATGCTGTATTTTCTAATTTTATTAAACTTAATTTAGAGATTGACAGACAACACAAGACGACATTCTTGCCATCGTTCTTTCCAGATTCTTGACTGCTTGATCAAGAAAAGCAAGAATCTGGAAGGAATTACAAGATACTTAGAATTTCTTGGAGTTCAGACAAGACTCTTGTAACAGAAAAGAAAAAAGATTCTTGTCTAATCTTCAAGACAAACGTCAAGTGATGTCTTTGTGTGCATTCATCCATATATATCAACGTTTATACGTTATTTATTCATTTTTACATGATGATAGTCATTGATTATCGTGTTCAATGAAATGGACAAAAGATGTTATTTTCAAACAACGTAAAGGGTCGCATGTAAATATCAGGTAAACAAAAATATTTAGTAGTAAATATACATGTATTGACTCATACTAGTGGGTCAATTTATAGTTGATTTTAGGATTTTCAATAACAATATTATTACAACAACGACTTGGCGTTAGACATCAACTATTACTGATCCCAGATAATAAAAATATCAACAAAACGAATTATAATAGTAGGTATGTATTTTTAATGTCAATAAAATATGTTAATGATTTTTCTTTGTTTCTTAATTTTATGTAAATAAAATATTTTTATCATTTTTCTCTCTCGATTTTTATGTAAATAAATTACTTTTAATAATTTATTGTTTTTCCTAATAAACATGTCAGATTCAAGAAAAAAAGAAGTAGGTAAGAGGTGCAAGTAAAAAAAGAATAAAATAAGAAAAACGGATCAGGCAAGAATTTCAAGAAAAACAAGAATCAGGCAAGAATTCAAGAACCCAAGAATCTTGCCTGGTGAGGCATTACTTGCCTCACCAGCCAAGATTCTGTCTACAAGAATATCATCAGAAGGTCCCGATCTGTTTTTCAGGCAAGAATCTTGTATAGAGGGAATGGCAAAAGAAACTTGACTGATAACCAAGAAAAACAAGGATCTGGAAAGAAGTGAGGCAAGATCGTCGACTAGTGAAACTCTTCTGAATGCATTAGAATTTCTTATTTCAGTAGTCAATGTTTCAAAATTAGTTGAAGTCAAATTAGAAAGTTTTTATTTCAATAAATTTTATCAAATCTTTTGTTTAATATTATTTCTATTATTGAACAAGCATTTTCTGTTTCATCTCTGATTATTCATAGTCGTTTTTGTAAACAATAATTTTATCCATTTCTGAATCGTATATGTTCAATAATTCTACGTCAAATCAAATTCGTTTAGGAACGATGTCAAAATCTTTCAATTGTTCAGTGTCAAATAATACATTTGAAACTTTATCAAGAAGTCATCTATTGGTTTAATCAAAATACTATTGATTCAACAAATCGAAGACATGCTGAATGTGATATTGTATAGATTGGAAATAAAATAAATCACATCAGAAAAGATTATAAACGAATTAAGTTAGATGAAAATCAATACGAGTCTTAATATATTTTATTTCATTATATTCGAATTAAGAAATGAACAACAGTTATTTTCAAATTTATTGAACCGCAATTCTTAGTTTTTTACGAATGATTTTCTAATCAACACTTGTCAAAACACTTGTTCTACTTTATTTTAATTGTGTATAAAAAGAAAACTTTCATTCACGTAGGTAATGTTAGCACCAGATTCGCGTATTTCCTGTGCCGATTCGCCCCTACGTCTGTGCTGGTCCTCTACTTGGTTGTGCTGGATGCAGAATTTAATTCTCTATCGAATGGTGACAACTCCGGCGGGGGTCGTCGAGCAAAAAATTCGGTCCACCAGCAAAAAACCGCTTTTTCCTCCATGTGACGA